CTGATCCACAAACTACAACACAAAAATTACCCCTCTCTCAGTATAGCAGAGTGTAAAATAAAATTCACCAACACCAGCAGTTCATTGTCCAAACAAAACTTGTATTTTGCTTACATTACTGGTGCTAAATCAGGCTTGACTATTTGAACAATTAAAACAATCTTCAAACAATATTTCTTTATTGCTAATTTTCTTAGAAAACTTTACATGGAAAACAATTTGCTTTTCATAGCAATTGGTTAAATTAAAAAAGTCAATGTATAAAATTTATTCTAAAAGCCAACCTGATTAGGATTAGGGTCACAATCATCCCAGGAATGTGTCAGATCTCCCTGAGCTATCTTCTCAAAAGGCTTGTGCACAGCTGATGGTCTGATGCGGTATAACCAGCTAAAGTGATTAAAAAGAACCTGAAATAAATTTCAAACTTAGAAAATGTGAATGTCTTAGATATTTTCAGGATTGTTTAACAGTTGGTAAGAACCAATCACACTGGAGATCATGACATGTGAATGTACTAACTTAAAAACACCAGGAACTGTTGCTGCTTCTGCATAAAGATGTGCTCTTGATCTCACATCTGACCAGCTTCTGCTTCTTCATATACTCACATCAAAAAAATAATTCCAGCTAGAGTTCAGAATTTCTTTTTGTATTTAAATAGTTTTCATACTTATATTTTCATTTTCTGTGCATCTCAAATAAGTCTTGCATCAAAATTTTACATTACATTACTCTACACTACTTAGTATACAAACACAATCATACAATCATGCTACCTTAAAAATAATTATCTACTACATGGATCCTAAAGAGAAACTAAGCACAGGAGGTTGGTTCCATTGCATGCATTCAGTGTTCAGACATGCTTTTTTGGGTTTTGACTATTCACAGCAGCAATCCATGGCAACATTTCTGCACAGCACCATACTTCATTATTCATGCAGTTCTTGGATAAAAAAAAAAAACTATGGCAAAACAATAGATCACCTTTAGGACTACAGCTTTGTTTGAGAACAGCATAGGGTAAAACAGAAATCTCTCCCAATTCCTCCACTCATTCAATTGAATAAAATCTTGGCTTGGCAAGAGTACCATATAACCCCATACATTACTTATGCATTCAGACTAGTAGACTTTGCTTTTAAAGTTTTGTTGTGATAGACAATGAAGTGGAATGCATAATTAATGTATGGGGTTATATGGTACTCTTTCCCTTGGCTCAATCATATTTACATGTAGCTCACGAGAGACTTTGAATCAAACCTGGTACTGAAGGATCCCTATAATATCAGCATTATGTTAATTTTAACCAATCTCTATCATATCAGCACTATCAAGAGGAAAATCGATTATCATACTCGTCTGGATTGAGAATTATTTGATACATAATAAATCATACCTTCTGCAGTTATATTCTCTTGTGGCAGTGAAAGCTGTCCCAGAGAGTTGCTCAGCATATAAACCATATGGGCATTTTTGAGGAGCATTCTGAAAATAGACAACAAGTTAACTAAGGTTACCATGCGCCTCCAAGGGTGTCTCGCATGCAAGCGATGTAGTGCGTCCGGTTTAAACTGTAGATATCTAAACCCCTATATCTAATTAAAGCTTATAAGACTGGCTATCAGGCTATATCAAAAATTTTGAAAAAAATGAATTGTCTAATTTTTCACGACTTCTAAATCCAAGCACCCGAATCACCTTTTAAGAGCTACAAGTCAGACGGAATTTGTTCGATTGCTCTCAAATTTTGACAGTAGCTAGTTTTACAAACAAACAACAAAAATGTGTCTCCGAATTTTTTATTTCTAAATCCTTTTTTTTTCAAGAGCGATTTTTATACAATCACTCCACATTTCTTTAATCCTGTTTCAAAAATGTTCTGTAACTTTTCACTTAAATTGAATGTGGCAAATTGCAGACACGTTTTTTTAGCACTTTGGACCCCGGAGCAACACAATTAAGTGCACCTAAACCCAAAAATGTTTTTTCGCTTAACGAAATAAACTTATTTTTTGGAGTATTTCTGAGCAAAAATTTTTTAATTTGCTCAAATCTTTAATTTTCTGTGCCCAGTCAAAATACAGAAAATCAGCCGCCATCTTGACCCACGACCGAGTTTAAAGAGGAATGGCTCTGGCGGGTAATGTGACGTCAAATCAAGAACACGAAAGTCTGCATTTCACACATTTTCACTTGTTTGGGAAGGTTGTCATCGATATTGTCCGAAATATGCCGAGTAGGTGTGTTGTATGAGGAAAGTATGAAGCGCGATACCCTCCTGCAAATTTCGCCCATTGCTACATCCTTCTACAACACACTTAGTCGGCATATTTTRGGACAATATAGACTACAACCTTCCCAAACAAGTGAAAATGTGTGAAATGCAGACTTTCGTGTTCTCGATTTGACGTCACATTACCCGCTAGAGCCATTCCTCTTTAAACTCGGTCGTGGGGCAAGATGGCGGCCGATTTTCCGTATTTTGACTGGGCACAGAAAGTTGAAGATTTGAGCAAATAAAAAAATTTTCGCACAGAAATACTCCAAAAAATACGCTTATTTCGTTAAGCGAAAAAAATTTTTAGGGTTTAGGTGCACTTTAAATAAGCGAAAAACAAAATTCGCTTTGACATGTAACGTTCAAAAGGTGATTCGGGCGCTCGCATTTAGAAGTCGAGAAAAATTCGACAATTCATTTTTTTCAAAATTTTTGGTATAGACTGATAGCCAGTCCTATAAGCTTTAATTTGATGTAGGGGTTTAGATATCTACAGTTTAAACCGGACGCGCTACATCGCTTGCACGCGAGACAACCCTGAAGGTGCACGGTAACCTTAAAGGTCAGGATTACATCATTTCAACTATTTGGTTCACAATGCTTCAATAACCTCAATCTGTCTAAAAAAAGCTCCATACACTTTAACAGACAAAAGAGTGGGTTCTGATAACCAACACAGTCCTGCGTCTTAGCATAATAATTTTTCACTCTCCGAAAGATTACGAGGCCAGATTTCCTTATAAACCCATGATATTATACATGCAGTTCTTTGTTGAAAGAAAAAAATAAATAAATAAAAATAAAGAAACAAATTAGGAGACCAATAGGTTACCTTCATGAATCAGACTTTTGATTAGATCAAAAGGATATGAGAATTACATGACAACAATTATTTTTGGCCACGAGATAAACGAACAGTTGTAAAAGGACATAATGGTTAAGCTAACTATCTTAAACTCTTTCAGAACCACGGATAGACGCGTTTCCGAGGTTGTGACGAGAACCTTGCCAAATTTGATCATTTTGATTCGCAGAATAACTAGAAATTGACTGAGGCTTGCACATAGGGACTTACCTGTCCTTTCGGAAGCGCATCCAGCACGGCTTCAGAGGCAAACTCATTACCAAAACCTGACATGTACTTAGCAGAATAACACACATTATTAGTACTTTCTTTAGACTGACAATCGTGAATATCATTTCAGAAATTGTTACCTTTAGTTCCGCCATTTTGTTTTCGGAACTGAAGCTATGGAACTTTAGATAAAAGCCATCAGCCACGTGTTTATGTGTTTCCTGATTGGTGAATTCTGTTCACTCCTACGAACACTCCCCTCTCCCCTTCCCAGTCCTTCACCTACGGTGTCACGATGACAGCTGTTCGAGGTAGAGATTGCTGACGAGATTGCTACTCAACGATTTAGGTTTGAGAATTTTAATAAAATATGATATTCTTCGAAAAAAAATCCCTCTTTCCAATTTTTCCTTTATTTTTGTTTAATAATCAGCTATTCGTAAATTTTTTTAGAATTAATTCGTGGAAGAAAAATTACATAAAGAAATTGCTTCTCCTTTACCCTAAAGCATCTATTATCAAGAAAGAAATCGTCTTTCAAAAGTGAGAGGTATCACTTCTTGACATGTGTTCAACAAACGCAAAATATATTTTCAACATTCAACCCTGAATTCAATGAAGTATTTTGCAGCAGTCTTTCCTCTTTCTGAAATCATTATGAATCGTTCCTTAAGATATACGAGAATAAGAAATCATGACCTCAGCAAAAGCTTGGATAAATTTTTGCTCAAGGCAGTGTACTGTTACTTTGCTGTTACCGGTAGTTTGAAGAGAAAAATTAAAAAAATTATATATATATACTAATTGTGAATTGTAGCAGCACTGGCTACAATTCACATATACCTATATATATATTTAGTATAATTTCAGAGCTGAACAAAGAGTTTCCAGCAATCTGATTGTTTGAGTGGTTCCTTATATGACGCTATATAAACCGCTCCGCGCGGTTTATATAAAATGTTAAACTAAAATGTTAATAAATGTTACTAAAATGTTATAATTTTAGAAATTTCTCTGTTGTTCAGCTCTGAAATTATACTAAAACAATTATTCGCCTCAGGTTCGGTGAATATTGTCGAATAATCCCCTCGACTTCGTCTCGGGGATTATTCGACGATATTCACCTC